GGTCTCCAGCTCAACGCCTATCCATTCTCCAACCTGAAAGTGAGTGGTGCCCACGAAACGAACAATGGCCTTGGAGCCATCGTTTAGTTGGACAGTCTGCCCAGGCTTGAAATCCGGCATTATAAGGTGTTGTCGAGATCGCAGGGCATCGTGTGGGCACCGCTAGTGCTTGAGGTGTTCTTGAACGTGGAGGGGAGGGGAGTCGTCGGCCTTTTCTTTGTCTTTGTTGATGCTGGGCTGTCTCCTGAGGCGCGTACAGTACTAATTAGACGGGAGGGGAGCTGTCTGGCTGTAGTGCGTAGTGGATCGGTACTTGAGTTAAGTCCCTAGAGTCGGGGGCGCGTTTACCTCACGGATAAATTACGATGGCGGCAGTCATTCCCGGCGTTTAGCGGTTAAGGTACGTACATTTGCTGCAGGGGTAAACTCAAACTCCACCGACTTACAAGGATTGGACATCAATACTAGCCTCAGTTGCTTCACTTGTAAGACGTCAGGTGTACATATGCCGAACAAAGAGAATAGGAAGATACTTATCTCTTTAAGCTATAATTAGCATTCAAGGCCGTATTCTTTGTTTGTTTAGTCTCCGGACTTGGCTCAGACTATGATCATCATTGGAAACGAATGTAAATAAACAAACAAACAGATCTGAGAGTATTGACGCCATGGACTCCTACTACTAAACTTTACATGTTTACTCCCATCCATTGACAGGAATGTGATATTAACTGAACCAACACATGTTTTCCTCCAAATAAACAACCCCATCGGTTATGCGGTGCTGTAAGCTTTATCCTCAGATCCAGGTGTAGTCTTGACAATGTCCTTTTCACTGTCCACTTCGAAAAACAAAGTAGTGTCATGTCTTGGTCACCTCAACGTCCCTTGTCGACTTTTTCTCTGAAGCTCCCTCCTCGTACCCATTCAATGACTTCAAAAACAATTCGTCGTTCAGTTGCATCATCCAAGTCTTTACCCACCGCAACACGGACAACCATGAGCCCCTTGAATGAATCGACCGTTCCGCACTTCGCGATCTCGTCCTCTAGACTTGGTTTCACGTAGATAACAAGATCGGGATTGATGGTACCGCGCCAGAGGGTGGCCATCCACTGCCAATGGTCGATCGGTGCATAGGCGTCCGCAATGGGTATTGTACAGGCGAACGAGTCCGAAAGAGTGAGGCTGAATCCTTCCTTAATAAGGGCAACCGGTATCTTTGAACTACCGTTGTCATCCCGTGATGATCTGGAGGCGTTGTCCTCTTCAACTGAACCACGTCGTGAAATTGGTGAGTCCGAGTCCCTCTCCCGCTGTGAGCCACGCAGCGATTCGGTTTGGTTGGTGATGTGTTTTACCATCTCTCGTGACTTCTGGTGCCATTGTATCATCGTTTCAAAACATGACGCAAGGTTGGGGTTCGAGTCTGAAGGTTCATCGTTATCCTGGGAGCCAGTTTCGTGGCTTTTGGTCTCGTCTTCAGTCATCTGTCCCCAGGTCTTGAGCGCGATTTCGTTAGAGGTCGAAAGTGCTCGCTCAACCAGCAAGCCAACCTGCTTCAATATTCTTGGTTTCGGTCCCTCTACAGCAATGACAGCCCCCCTATTCTCGACTTTCTCGAGAGACAAGGTTCCAGAACCTAGAGAGCTGATCGGAGTGTGATTTATCTTAGAAAGCACAGATAGCTTTCGCGTGAACGGAATAGACATGACCATGGCCTCCACGCTTCTAGCTTGGGGGTCTCGAGCATTCGATATTCCAAGCCCCGTAACTGGAGTCTGGAGCTGTCGAATATCAACCTCTTGTGCATTGGTGGGAGACATGGCAGTTTGAGTCTGCAGTGGGGGAAGTCTGAGGGACTCGTCGTCATAGGAAGGGTGCCGGCCTCGATGTTCCTGGCCAGGCCAAGGTCCTCCTGCTGGTCGAGGTGGGGGAGGCATCGGGCCTGATTTTGATCTAGTAAAGTAAGGCTCGGGCAGAGGCGTGACAGGGTACGGTCTCTGAGAAGCCGCTCCTAGTGACAGTGCCCGTCCCATTGTCCCTGGCGATGATATCGGGTGATAGCCGACAGCAGTGTTGTAGCGGCGCCTCTTCATTTCTGGCGACTCGGGGCCGTATTCCTCTCCTTCTCGATAAGGAGAACGCTTGGAGGGCTGTTGCTGTCTCATAGCCAGATTACCAAAACTTGCACGACGAGCTGCCTCTGGATCACGCAAAGCCGGCGTGTATGGATATGAGGGAGCTCTGCCTTCACTTGCCGCTGGTGTGGGGGGGTAGGGTGTAGAGGGCGTTGAAGGGGTTGCAATGCACCGGAGGTTGCACTTTAAACATCTTCCAGATTCATCAGCGGAGACAGATCCTGATCGGAGGCCTTGCGACTTGTTACCACGTCGCGGCTGATAGCGATAGTCAGGGTACTGTTGCTGGTGGCGCTGCTTTTCTTCATCTGCCAGTGCTTTCCAGTTGTCTTTGACTTCTTGGGGCTCGTCCTTCCACTGTTCTCCAATGATTTTGGAGATGTCAGGGTTAGATAGGTTTGGGTTGCAAGCGACAACTTGTGCTTGGTGATGCTGGCGATACAGTATGAAAGCTATTGGTGATGGTCAGTTATGATGCTGAATATATATTGGAGGATGGTTGCGCATAAATGTTGTCACTGTCCACAACTCCAAGCTTCACTATCATGACCAACGAAATAGCATTTCAACAAAGAAAAGAAAAATAAAGAAGCGACTCACCATTCCTAGGTCGTGGGATCTTGGGCGCCGGAGTGCAGAGACAGATATCTCTTGTAGCTTCATTGCTTGCCATACTGCTCGGCGTACTCAGTTTGAGTCTCTCAAGTCTACCATAGCTAGCGTCAGAAGTGTTGATGGGAGCGGCACGTTTTCTACCCAAGCCAGCAGTGCGAGGACTAGGAGAGTCTGGAGTGTCGGGGAGTGCACGAAAGGCTCGCGGCCTATCGTAGTCATCAGAATCCATGGGGGAGTGGGCCGGGGTCATAGCCTGGGAGGGCGTAACCAAAGAGATGACCTGTGTCATTTTTGCTTGACTTTTCCCTCTGCTTTGCTTTCCTTTCCTTTGGTTCCTCTGACGGGAAGCGAACGGGAAGTGGTAGACCCTGTACCCTGGTCTCGGTGTCGTTGAGATTGGGGCCGGGAGACGCAACTTCTTGATGAGATAGATATAGGAAGTAATAAAGATAGAATCAATGATCGTGTGCTATTATGGCCTTTTCGCTCCTCGTAGTAGGCTCTTCTCTTCCTTTTTTCCCTTTCTTGACTGAAAGAAGATGGGGATGATTCTCGCAGTGTTGGGCCACTGTCTGTCTGTGCAGGGCCGTGTCTTTGTGTGTTCAACGGTAGCCCATTCAGTAGCCTCCAAAGAACAATGAAACTGCTTGCTCCTGTAATGCCCGTCTCTCTCTTTCTTTCTTCCTTTCGCTTCCTTTCTTTCCGTTGGGGCCTAATGTGGGAAATTAGGCGTGGCTCATTATCGCCTCCGTCTTTGATCTCTTGTCTTATCCTTCTCTTGTTTCTTTTATTAGATCCCCCAGACTTCCCTTCTCTTCACTTCTTTTTCTTGTCACCTCAACTTCTCAGACTTTCTCTCGTCATCCAATGACACCCTCTTGTTCTTTGATAAACTCAGCTCAACTCTCCCACTGTGTTCTTTACCAATGCGCAAGATATATTAGCCGTTCTGCACCAGAGCCTGTCAAGAGTAAACAGCGGGGTATGCCCCTGCATGTCCCGGTTCTCTGCAGGTTTGGCTTAGAGCTTGGTCCTGCGTCTGCACATTAAACGTATGGCCCGGCCTGTCGGCAGTAACAGCTGCACTTCCGTGGCCACTCGACCACTAGGAAGTGTACGGCACCAGGAACAGGGAACAAGGTATTTGCCGCAGTCGGGTGCAGTCCCTAGTAAAGTAGGACGAAAAGTGAACCGGGGTCTGTTGATTAGTTAAAACCTGAGGACAAGTGAGAGAATGAGAATGTGTGGGAATATGAGCGAATGTGATGGGACCCAACGAAACAGGACGGGAAACAAGAAACGCTCACAAAGAGAACCACGACCCACGGACTCTGCCATGATATATCATCTTTTCTCCCTTTCCTCCCTGGTCCATCTTTTTGTCTCCCCATCTAGAGCACGTCCACTCATTATGATGTGAATACCGATCCTCAACTGGTCCAAGCACAACACATTCTGACTCTAACAGTCTAACTAGCCCCTTGTTGATTCCAGCCTCATCCAACAACGACAATGCAGTGTAATGTCGAGCCGGAATGTGGACCATGTCTAGTCTTAGTCTGGGGCTGGAATGCTTGGTAGTAGGGACTGAAACAAAGACAATGTCGTCTCCAAGATTGGCACAAGTTTATACGTAGCACGTGATGCATAAACTCGTCCAAGGGCGACTCTCTTTGAAAATCTAACCATATTTAGTTATGCGGGCCAACTGTTCCCATCAAGGCTTGAGACGGCAGCTGAAATAAGATGAGGTCGGCTGGCACTGGTAACGCAGGATTACTCCCTCTCCACCACCCAGTTCCATCTGACCCAGTGTCTAGGGCTTGGGTGCCGAAGTTGAAGTGGTTGCTGAATGATCAAAGAGCTTGTAGGAGGGTGCCACTTTGTTGTTTGGTCTAGACTTAGCTTAACATAATGGGAGCACAAGACAAGGGAGACACACACCTCCCACCTACGTTAGAGGCGAGCTAAAGTTAGACAGGGATTTGCAGATACCATTCTCTCTCACATCTTGATATGGCCAATGATGAATAGCCAGTGGCCAATCTGAGCCAACCCGACGCCAATTCTCTGTAGTATTCCATGGTTCCCTATCAAGTACACAGTAGCTAGAGGTCAGGTGTTTTCTTTCCTTATCAACCACGTAGCTCCTTTAAAAAAGTAGTAATTATGACACGTCTTCCCTCGCACCCAGCGCCTTCTAGACTGAAATTCAACGCCCTCAGGCTCTGCAGCCTCTCATTTTTACGCGAGGTATCCTCGCCCGGCCTCGCTGCTGAGGAGGGCGGCACTTCGGCGAGCATCAAGGAACAAGTCCTCACACTCGGCAACGTCCTGAACGTCGATTTGGGAGCGGCCGTTGGCCTTGGCAAGAATGCTATTTCTTCAGTCAGCAACCGTGTCTCGGATTATCTTGCCAAAGGGTCTCCCCTCTCGCCACAGTGACTTACCTTGCAGGGGTCAACAGCTGCAGACAATACCGCAGGCTGATGCGGACACCGTGTTCCGAGATTTTGTCAATGGCAGCATCTGATACTGAGACGCCTTCGGTTGATGAGCGTATCCGCACGATGCGCTTGATTTCTTCCGCCTCGTAGGGCGTTGTAGGGATGATGAGCAAGCGTGTGAGGAAGTCGGCAGGGATTCCGTGAGCCGCGACAATGTCGTCAGTGCCTCTGATGGTGCACATTCCCCGGTTGGAAGCCAAGATCACGATGGGGGAGATGGGCGATTCCAAGGCTCTGTTCAGGTAGGTGAAGCACTCCACATCGAGCATGTGTGCCTGTCAAACGTCATATCGGTTAGCCTCAGAGTTCCCGTCCCGTTATGATAGGGGGGATGGGATGTGTGTTACCTCATCGATAAACAAAACGCCTGGCACAAGCTCAGCAACACCCTGGTCGATGTACTTGCTGACCACTTTGTTGATCTCTCCACGAAGTTTGTCTGTAATCTCCGTCATCTTGGGCTTCATTAGCTGGCCCATCATGCTCATAATATCCTGGCCGCCTTGAGGACGGGCATTGGCCACATCGAGGTCATGTAGCGTAACGTCTTGCACGATCTCCTTCTTCTTGTGCACCTCACCCTTGGGGATGGGTACGTACTCCTCCGCCTCCAGGTCGAATTCCGTGGCGTAGGCGTCTGATCGGCCAACTCGTTTGCAGGCACCCGTGTTCGCTTCGATATAGATCACGTCGCCGACCGTCACTCTCTCCTTCTGAATTGCTTCGTAGATACTTGGGTCGAGGCGGAGCTTCTTCTGTCCCTTTGCGCTCTTGAGTCCAATCAAGAGCGTGCTGATGGTCTTGCCGTAGCCGCCTAACGGGTTTTCGGCCTCCTCAGGTGTGAGTTCTGTAACCTCTCCTTCATACACCTCCTTCGTCTCTCGGACCTTCAGGCCAATGGCTCTTCGGAAGTTCTCCATCAGCATCTCGGTCTTCTTGACTTCCGTGGAGTAGATTTCGCTGCCAACGATGGGGCAAAAGGGAATCTTGGTTCCCAATTCTTGGCTGATTGCGAGCGCGAGAGCGGTCTTTCCAGTTCCGGGTCCTCCTGCCAGCAGCACACCTCGGCCAGCCATCTTCTGAGCCCGAATCAAGTCCACTACAACACCGCAGGACTAGCAACCGAATAAGTATTCGTAAGTCAATGTTCGATTCAATCAGTCCTTACCTCACGCGCGCCGACTTGACCGACAAATCCGGCCGCTTGCTTCTCTGCATATCCATCTGATTTCAAGCCCAAGCCCTTGATATGAGTATGGGCGGCTGTGCGATTGTCTCGCTTGTTACCCTTCACCTCGCTGATCTGGACCATGGTGTCGGCGGGTGTCGAATATGCCGACAGTTATTATTTTCGATTACAGGTTTATCGGCGCGTGTCTAGGATTCGTGTAGTGGGACAATTCGTGATGTGATAATCGAGATGATGGTTTGATTTTTGCTGTCGCAGAAGCTTCTAAATATTTGCGACTGAAGCTGAGCCAACGAGCCATGGTACCAGGCGCGTTCAGGCGCTATGACGGTCACGTGCATGCCCAGGCTTACCCTGTAGCTAGTAATTTGTCTGCATTGTCACTCGAACTCTGTATAACGCCGTGATTCATCTATACTAGGTGCTCATTGAATACATAACCTATCAATGAATACGAACACAATTTGAAGCTTTGGCGGCGTGTTATGGATATGGTGCGGCGGTTAGTATGTCTAAAATAGTTTCAATTAGGTTTTCCCATAGCACGACATGGAGCTGGAGGATACCAAGTCAATGGAATGAAGCAAGGTTCATAGAAGTCTGAAATATACAGCTCTTTGTAAGAAAATGCATTTATATGCCTATGGCTAGTGTTGAATTTCAAATCATTATCTCCGATAATAAACATAAAACCTTTGAGCTTGACGTTGACCTGTCTCCTTTCCCTCAGACATCTAATCAGTAGTGTAAATAAGCACGTGGGTTGCGTGGATGGTTCTCATGATGAGACTCTGTGTCCGAGAGAGTTAAACAACGGCCCCGGAGCTTTTGAATGAATGAAAACTAGTAAAATAGATATTTTACAAATGATTCAAAGTACGTGCGTATGCTCGTGACGTAGGCATAGAATTGAAATATAATCTGTCTGCGTGATAATACGTAGTGGAAATCAAACGTATCCTCATGTTAACATAAAGTCCCGAACTAGAGATTTCATGAGGCCGTTCAGGGTAAGCATACATGCACCTCCACGTAATCTGTCAGGGACAGCTACCGCCACGCCCCACTAAGCTACATGTGAAGTACCTGGAAGAAGGCTAATTTACAGCTGCATAGGAGGTATCTATGGGAACCGGGCTCTGTAAGTGGTAGCGGGACACTTTTAAAGGTGACGCCCCCCCAGAGGACGCTTGGCAATAGCGTAGGCTACGACAATACAAATGATACAGCACCCAGTCTTGAAATGATCTGTCCCCTTGTGAGCCAAGACACGAGTCACCATTTCTCAGCAAACATCAAGTGTACCAAACGAAACACAACTTGGCCTCTGTTCGATTGCTGCTAGCATTCATCAACAGCAAGTTCGCCGGACGGACATTGAACGCGTAGATCCCTTTGCGACTACGACCCTGAAATGCGATACAGATAAGAGCTCCTAAAGATTCGACGGCCTCCAACAGTATACAACCGAAAGAACAAAGACGAACACCGAATTCCCCGACAAGGAACACGAGGGAGAAAAGTCTTACAATCAGAAAAGCACAACTACGAAAAGAATCGTAAACGTCCTCATATCACCGCCGCAGCATGTCTGAGCAGCACCGCTAGCTCCCATCCTCCATTCTTCACCTTCAACACAGCACCTTTTCTATCACTCCTCATCGTCAGGAGCTTAGCCAGGGATGCCGCCCTCACCACGATATCGAGCTTCCGACCCACCCGACTCTCCCGCGAATGACTCCGATTCGGACCTTGATCTAGATATTCAGGAGCTCGACCCAATATCAACTACTCCAGCCCCAAGGGACAGCGAGCGCCCTTCAACCGAGCCACAGACATCGCGGATAGCACTGCGAAACTTGCGCATGGGTGGAGTGCGGCGAGCTGGAAAGAGGAACCGCGGGTATGGCGACCTCGGCCAGGACAGGGACGGAAACGATGAGCATTCTCAGGCATTATTGGGGGAACATAACAGCAGTGCGTCTCGATGGTCGGAAGGAAGCGGCTACAATGAGGACGATCAACCACTGCTAGGGGGCCAGCCTTCGCAAGGCCGGAAGTCTATGAACTCGGATCGAGTATCTTCACGGTTACGACTCCCTAGTTTCATGTCGGGCTCGAAGAAACCAGAACCGAGCGATGCGGAGGACCAAGAAGACGACGACCCATCCTCCTCTCGACATGTAGCCGTGGGATCGACTCAGCCTGTGCGATTTCCAAACAACATCATCTCAAATGCCAAGTACACAGCCTTTACATTCCTCCCCATCACCCTATACAACGAATTCTCTTTCTTCTTCAACATGTACTTCCTTCTCGTGGCACTGTCGCAGGCGATACCCGCCCTGAGAATTGGCTACTTATTAACGTACATTGCACCATTGGCGTTTGTACTCTGTATTACCATGGGAAAGGAGGCATTCGATGATATTGCAAGACGGCGAAGAGACACTGAAGCGAATTCGGAAGAGTACAACATTCTGGTTTTCCAGGATGCCGACTCCAATCTTGCCCCTGTACGCCAACGAAAACTGCTCAAGTCTGAAGTATTACAGAAACACTCCAGGAAGAAGTCAAAGGGGGCTCGAGAGAATTTGTCAGACATTCTGGAGGAAGACGATGTAGAGGCACCCCCGCCATCCTCACGAGTTGTCGAAGTCAGCCGCAAGTCAAAAGACTTGAAAGTTGGTGACGTTCTCAAGCTTACAAAGGGTCAACGTGTACCTGCAGACGTTGTCATATTGAAATGCTTCACTTCCGAGGCACCAGCTCCTGCACCAATTCCTGAAGAACCAGCTGAGGAGGATACCTTGTTGGCGTTCGACGGCGAAGAGATTCAAGCAAAGGGAAAACAACCTGCAGAAGCGGCACCAGAGCAAGAGAATGAAAGCGGACCAGGAGGGGAGACTTTCATCAGGACCGATCAGTTGGATGGTGAGACGGATTGGAAGCTCAGACTTGCTTCACCGCTCACACAAAATCTACCAACAGAGGAGTTTGTTCGTCTGCGCGTCACCGGTGGAAAGCCAGACAGGAAGGTAAACGAGTTTCTGGGCACAATCGAGCTGGTGGAATCTCGAAAGGATGCATTGGCGCACCATGCGACAGTACAAGACTCTGACGCTTCCCATACGGCTGCTCTGTCAATTGATAACACAGCATGGGCCAATACTGTCATCGCCTCCCAAGCCACGACCCTGGCCGTCATCATGTACACAGGTCCCCAGACGCGATCTGCTCTATCAACAGCCCCCTCTCGTTCCAAGACCGGCCTGCTCGAATACGAGATCAACTCTTTGACTAAGATCTTGTGCGCGTTGACATTGGCTCTTTCCATCATCCTTGTCGCGCTCGAGGGTTTTGGAAACACCAAGGACAATGTGTGGTACGTCAAGATAATGCGATTTTTGGTTTTGTTCTCTACCATTGTCCCCATCAGTCTGCGTGTGAACTTGGACATGGGCAAGAGCGCATATTCCTGGTTTATCCAACGGGATCCTGGTATGCCTGGAGCAGTTGTTCGAACAAGTACTATACCAGAAGATCTCGGCCGAATCGAATACCTGCTCAGCGACAAAACTGGTACACTAACCCAAAATGAGATGGAAATGAAGAAGATTCATGTTGGTACTGTGTCTTATGCCAACGAGGCAATGGACGAAGTGTCAACATATGTCAAACAAGGCTTCTACATCCCGCCATCCGCAGACGCTGCTGCCCAGAACATGCTTATCACTCCGTCATCCACATACTCTAGCACTACGACTATGGGCACGACACGCACAAGACGAGAGATTGGCACGCGAGTTCGAGATGTAGTTCTGGCACTCGCCCTTTGCCATAATGTTACACCTACTGTTGACATTGAGGATGGCAAAGAGGTTACTGGGTATCAAGCATCGTCTCCCGACGAAATCGCCATTGTCAAGTGGACAGAATCAGTCGGGCTGAGACTTGTGTACCGAGATCGCAAGAGTATGGTATTGGAATACACGAACAGCAAGAGACCTGTGGTTCGCGTGCGAATCCTTGACGTTTTCCCTTTTACTTCCGAAGGCAAGCGAATGGGTATCATCGTTCACTTCCACGAAGACGTCAAGGTGAAGAACCCAAGTCTCTCTGCTGGCGAAATCTGGTTCTTCCAGAAGGGTGCTGATACAGTCATGAGCTCCATCGTTGCAGCGAACGATTGGCTCGACGAGGAGACCGCCAATATGGCGCGTGAAGGCTTACGCACACTGGTCGTTGGTCGCAAGAAGCTCTCATACGACCAGTACAAGGAGTTCTCGGCTCGCTATCAAGAAGCCTCGCTTTCGATCAGTGGACGTGACACTGGCATGCAGCGGGTGGTCTCGCACTACCTGGAACATGACTTGGAACTGATTGGCGTGACTGGTGTCGAGGATAAGCTGCAGAAGGACGTGAAACCTTCTCTAGAGCTCCTCCGCAATGCGGGTATCAAGATCTGGATGTTGACTGGTGACAAGGTCGAGACAGCCAGATGTGTTGCTGTCAGCTCCAAACTGGTGGCTCGTGGTCAGTACATCTATACAGTTTCCAAGCTCAAGAAGAAGGATAACGCCCAAGAACATCTTGACTTTCTCCGGAGCAAGACAGACGCTTGTCTCTTGGTAGATGGTGAAAGTCTGGCTCTCTTTCTGACACACTTCCGCCTTGAGTTTATCTCCATCGCCGTCCAGCTGCCCACCGTTGTTGCTTGCCGTTGTTCGCCAAATCAAAAAGCCGAAGTTGCCAAACTCATCCGCGAGTACACTAAAAAGCGCGTATGCTGTATCGGCGATGGTGGCAACGATGTCTCAATGATCCAAGCTGCTGATGTTGGTGTTGGCATTGTTGGCAAGGAAGGTCGACAGGCTAGTTTGGCGGCAGACTTTTCTATCGAGCAGTTCTGTCATCTGGTCAAGCTCTTAGTCTGGCATGGTCGTAACAGCTACAAGCGAAGTGCTAAGCTCGCGCAGTTTGTTATCCACCGTGGTTTGATCATTGCTGTGTGTCAGACTATGTATAGTATTGCTATCAAGTTTGAGCCTGAGGGTCTATACAAGGTAAGTCGTGGACTTGATTTCTCCGTTCTTGACAACTAATGATTGTAGGATTGGCTACTTGTCGGCTATGCTACTGTATATACCGCAGCCCCTGTACTGTCACTTGTGTTAGACAAGGACGTGGACGAGAACCTTGCCAACCTCTACCCCGAGCTCTATAAGGAACTCACTTCTGGACGATCTCTATCATACAGAACTTTCTTCGTTTGGGTCTTTGTATCCATCTACCAAGGCGGCATGATTCAGGGCTTGTCACAGATCCTCACTGAAGTCGACGGGCCCAAGATGGTTGCTGTCAGCTATACCGTTCTAGTGCTCAACGAGCTTCTCATGGTGGCCATTGAGATCACTACATGGCATCCCATTATGATCATCAGTATCATCGGCACTTTCGTCCTGTATATCGGCTCCATACCTTTCTTGGGCGGATACTTTGACCTTCAGTTCTTGATAACATGGTAAGTCGCCCTTAACTTTTTGTGTCATATTTACTAACATCTGCTCAGGGGATTCGTCTGGCGTGTACTAGCCATTGGTGCTGTTTCACTGATCCCGCCATACGCGGGCAAGTTGATTAGGAGGACAATGAAGCCTCCGTCGTATAGGAAGGTTCAGAGCCACTAAAGGAAATGTCATGGGTTTGGAGTTCAGTGTTGGCGTTGGGTTATCACGTAGAAGGTACCATTGTTACATAGTATTGCATGTTTTATTTGTACGCAATAGATGATGTATGCGCCTCTTTATGAGTGCTTTGAACTATAATACATTATATGAGACCATTCTTACAATGATTTTACATCTTGAGGATTAGCCAATCTCTTGCCAGTAGAGGGTTCTGTTTTTGCAGATAGCCAGCTATGCCAGATATCGGACCTTGAGTCTGCTGGCCATTTAACCATATCTTGGGCCCGGCATAGTACTCAATGAAACCGTCGGGGCCAGAGACGATGAACAAGTTTTTCCCGAGGGCGGTGCATTCAGAAGGCTTACACACACAACCAGGCCCTTCAGCGAGGGTGAATTCGGAGGCGTAAACATGCATCGCTTGATCGTGGAGTCGACAGCCTGCATTAAATGAAGCAACCGTTCCTGGCGATGCTGCAATGGCATTGCTAATATCCCTATCCTGGAAGCGAGTTCCCTCCTCGTCAACAACGACCTGGATCCTTAGACGATCACCATAGGTCATCTTAAGGTCTTGTAAGCGCTTTGTGACGGGGCTAGGGCTCTCGACGTCAAATCCTAATGGACTGGGCTTCCTTTCTTGCCAAAACTTCCACGATGATTGCCGAGGAGGAGCGCTTTTTTGAACCTCTTCTCTCTTCCTTACAGCCCAGAGAAGGTCAACGCTTGACTTTTCGTTCGCTTCCAAGACAGCCTTAGCTGCTTGTATACCAGGCACTACACCTGTACCGCCGGCAAGAAAGACAAGACGAGAGTGCTCGCCCAATCGCTCTGCTAGTTCGAAGCCAACGTGTGGACCACGTAGGAAAACATCTTCTCCAACCTGTCTCCGACCTAGATAATTGGACATCTCACCATCGCCAACAGTCCGGATATAAAATCGGAGTAAGCCATCTGTAGGATCCTCTGTAGACAGTGGAGGAAGGGGCGTATAATGTCGAGAGATTTGCACCTCGGGTTGCTTGAACTCCACAGACCAAAGAGGGTACCTCCAGCGGTTATCTGAGGGGTCCAAATATGGTAGAGAAGGGTTTGGTGTGCGCGGAACTGCGGTGATGACGAATGAGGTTGGTGAGATGGCCTCACGAGCTGTGATACCGTAGGGAACAAAGGTTATCTCGTTGAGAGTGTTGGGTCGAGACGGCGGCGTGAGAAGATAGTAGCCACCACTGACAAGAACTATTCCGACGACGATTAGAGAGGGGAATATTCGTGATTGAAGAGGTGTAGAAAAGTCTGGTTTTTGAGAAGCGTGTTGCTGAGGTCGCGATGAGGTCGTGAGGTTCTGAGATGAGATTCTTGGAGGCTGTGCCTTAGCTATTGACAAACGGCTCCGGAAATGGCCACATTTTGTTAATAACCTTCGGTTCTGGGTGATAGAACGCGATGAACTTGTGAATATCCTTGACGTGGCTCTCATCATATCGGTTGGTGATGAGTACATCAGTTTTGATCTCAGATTCTTTCAGTCGTCTTATTGAGCTTTCATATCTAGGATGAAATCACTTGAATTCAAAACAGACTAAATAAATGAGATGTGCTCAAATTCTGGAGTTGGTCGTCACGATCCCGTCTTTTCCAGTATCTTCAGGAGTTCCTTGAGCTCATGGTCACCAAAAATTAAAGCTGGAATTACTAGATCAAGGTCACGTGAATCCTATGAATCGCCTCAACATTTACACATGGCCGTCATGATTGAATACAATTCGTAAATACCTTAGGTAGATATCGCGTGGTAATGACTTTAGAAGTTGTTTATTTCCATTGAAGAGTTTTTGTTTGTCTCGAATCTGGGGTATCTAACCGTCCATCAATACATATGTGTATATATATCTTACATCCTCAACATCTTATGCTCAGCGTCAATACCTCCTCTAAACATATCCGCAACCACATTTCCCTTTAGAATAGTCTCTTTTACAATACCCTCCACATTCTTTGGATCAACTCTTCCGTACCAAATTCCGCATCCAGCCAAAGGATGAGGCGCATCGCCCACCTTCAGGTCTGGAGGCAGATAAATAATGACGTTGCCAGCAAACTTATGACCTCCGATGTGACTGATCAATCCAACTCTAGCTGTAGTCTTTCCTTCACCAGTTTCTCCCTGTATTCTTTGTTTGTCGCCGAGATCAACTTGCACGGGCCCATGCAAGACGTCGAAATCCTCCATCTCCAACTTGTCCTCAAACTCAGTTTGCAGAACAGGCGCCATGATACCGCATCTCGCATCACGTCCTGTATGCCCACATATCAAGACCAAAACATCGTGGACATCTTGAACGCCTGGTAGTAGTCCCTGGTACCCTTCTTTGCGGGTCAAGCGATCCCGATGTATAGGTGAGAGACCTTCATGTGCAGGGTGAAGCTTCTTAGGGAGCAGAAACCCCTTAGCCAGTGCTTCTACACTATCAAACGACACCCGCGGTAGAAACGGGACGTATTTGAAGCTTGGGACTAGATAGACGGATGTGGTCTGAACTTCAGGACGTGGTGACACAGAACTCGGAAACGAAGAGTTGAGAACAGAAACATTATGAAAAGGCTATATTGATCAGTAAGATAATCCGTATTTAACAAGAGAGCACCAACATCGCTATAAGTCCCTCCACGCCCAAACAATTCTTTCAGATCCGCAGCGAGGCAATCGCCGCCATTATCATCCTCTATTCTCGATGGCCAATCTGCATTTCCTGTACACACTAGTACATGCTCTGCATACCCAGCAATTGCGCCTTTGAGGGGTCCCTCACGGTCCAGAGGAAGATCCTCTGGCATAGCAGGAGTAGCCGCGCATCCGCATGTCGGCTCTGGACATGTAGCGACAGTCTGAAAGGGCGGAGGAGGCGGAGGTCGAGTTTGCCGTGTCTGTTGAGCAAAAGTTCGCCTGGACGTTGATGATAAGCTGAAGAGACAGCGTCTTGTCAAGTTTATTGACGGTCGGAGAGACATGGTAGAATGTAAGAACCAATTATGGTCTTGGCTTTTGAACGAGACCTCGCTTTTATTTTGGTGACACCTCCAATAACCCGAATATCATGGCCCGGTGTTTTGCGATAGACATACTACATCATCATTTTCGCCTCGGTCTCCGAGATTCATAGAATCCCCCACTTTCCGGTCGAGCCGGCCCCCCACGTGTCGAAGCCGAATCATGAACAGACAATTGCTAATATCAACAAAATCACGAATCAATGACCCTTAAGGAATATATAGTTGAATATGCTGTCTTACGCAATGTATAATGAAACTCGAAACCAATCGGCTAAGACCTCCAACTCCCATCACCCGTTTCCAAATGCTACATACAATCTATCCAATAACGCAACACCACAATGCAAGCTACAATATGCAATGGATCCTCAACTAACACACGGGTATAGCAAGCCTTGCGGCCGTCAAACCTCTCAAGCTCATGCTCACACACCTATACACCAACTATACGTGCGTGAAAGACTCAAAAGCCAACCATTGTTCCCCTCTCGTCACAGTATCCCGGATGCTTAGGCTCCGCAGTGGCCCAACTCATCGCAGTAAGTGTGGTAGCGTATGCCATTGCGACGAATCCAAAGATACAGAGCAGGATATCGGCCACCTTCCAAAACTTCGTGCGGGCAATCGCCTTGTAATGAAGCATAGGCTAGAAGAAACAGTCAGTATTATAGATATAATCTTTTGACATTTTCAACTTACAGGATAGATAAAGACAAGTGGAATACAGGCAAAGTTACCAACGAGAGCAACGAACTTGTCCAGATGGTCGGCACCGAGCCAAGCAATGGCCGCACAAAGCATCACCACGAAGAAACGAAAGACATTCTTCTGCCACTTGACCCAAGGGTTATACTTGCCACTGCGAGTGAAGAGCTCTGTTTCAGCGATACGAATGGCAGGGAAGATTTGCAATGGTGTAGAAAGTAAAATGGCAACAGAGTACAGGAACTGAACTCCGTTGACCATCTTGTTGTCCTGAGGCAAGTTGAGCAAGACAACAGTTTCGGTCTGAGAGCCGTAGGCAGCATAAGAGATGGCACCCATGCCAATAAAGAGTACCGTGATGATAATCATAACGATAAGAAGAACCCGAGGAAACTTTTGAGGGTGTCTCATCGACTCCTGAACGGGAATGATGAGACCAATGCCTTCGAAGGTGAAAATGGCAGTTCCAATGAACAAGGTCCAATCCTTCTTGTTGAACATGATGATATCGGAGATACCGTTGGCGTTGAGGGTCAGAATATCGTAGTACAGGAGGTAAGCCAGACCAATCAGAATAAAGGCATCCGCGACTAGAGCAGTAAATGCGAGTTTTCCAATATCTCGTAGAAGAGCAAATGGTAGGAAAATGAGCATCTGGATAAGAATGAGCCATTGGATACTGATCGAGGACTTGCAGTCGGAAACAGCTCTGACAAAGGCCTGCAAATTAGCGGCAGTGAATACGGTGTAAGCGGCAACGAAACCAATCTGGCTGATGACAATGGAAGCCAAAATAAGGGTGCGCATATGTTTGCCGTAAAGTGCACCACCTAAATCACCAAAAGAGCCTCCAACCTTGAGCTGCGTTTTTACTAGAAGCACAAAGCAGTAATAGCTCAGAGCGGCAACGCCAAAGAGAATCAGGTTGCTGAAGAGCATACCTCCGTTGAGATAGGCTCGCGGAAGGAAGAGGACACCGGTACCGACAAAGGACTTGAGAAGCAGCAAGGCCGCGTTCATGGGACTATTGTTTCCAGTGCCACCGCGGACCTTGCGCTTGCGTCTGCGTCTTGAAGGTGTCAACAAGGCGCTGTCCTCCATAGGCTCCCGCTCGTCGTCCGAGTTGTACTCGTCCGTGTCTTCTCCGGATGAGAAGTACTCGTTCGGTCCCAAGTCTTCGTCATCCTCCTCCAGTTCCTCACCAGCGAAGTGGCCATAAATCGTCAAGAATTCGAGGAAGCTGGAGGTGAACAATCTCTGCTGGCCTGGCGCAGGAGAGGCGTGGCCTTCCTCGGGATGACCTTGAGGACCAGGGCTCTGGACGCTACGGCGGAGATGATTTCTTCGAAAGCCACCGGGCACCTTTATCGAGTTGATGTCAAGTACCTCGGCCTCGGGTTCAGGTCGTCCCAAATCGAAACTCTTGCTGCGGTTGTACTTTGCTCTCGCTTCTGCCTGTTCGGTCCACTTGTAGATACCTCGAGTCACATCACCTCCCTGCAACTTCAGGCTGGAGAACTCGTCCTCGCCCAGTCCGGCACCGCCGATTTCGGCTGGTTGCTTGCCCTTCGAATGACCTTGAATTGATGACTCTTCTGAGCCTGGGTTTTCATCCGAGGGTTGGACTAGATGACGCTTGACAATCTCGGGATCCTCGTAAGGTGCACTAGTGCCCAGCGCATTTTGTGACCGTGAATTGAAAGAGCCATAGTTGGTCGGTGTCCCCGAATTTCGACCGCCGAGCAGAGGAGACTGTGAGCGAATCGGGGGAGTAGCAACGCGAGCTGCGGGAGTGCCATGTCGGGGAGGAGACTGGCCTAGAGAATTGGAGAGCGCAGCGGCGAGAGCAGATACACCAGGTCCTTGGGCGCTAGTCCCGCTTCCAGGCAACTGGGACAAATCCTCGAGATTCTCGGCACGTGGAGCTGCATCAGGTCGTGGCGAGCCTCCTCTGGGAGGTGTAGTCCCAAGTAGTTGTGACGGGATGGGAGAAGCAAGACGCGCTGTCAAATCAGCTCGAGGGACCGAAGCGGAAATCGATCGAGGTCGGAAGCTCGAGGGCGAAGCAGACCTAGGGGGCTGTTCAGAGGGGATTCTCGAAGGAGAAGCCATTTTCCAATCCGATTGAAGGTGTGACAAGCCTTATCGCATAGTCTGTGAGCGGTGTTGACAGCAGTTTTGAGTCGTGAACAGCGGTAATGACGCAGCAGGCAGATGGATGGATGACTGGCGGGATGCCCAGCAACACTGATAAGACAGTCGGAGAACCAAAGAAGTCAACAAAAAGAATGACGACAAAGAATGATTACCAAGGACAGTCTCGGGAACAAAGGTTATATGGATATGTCACGCTTGGTCGGGTGACAGCGTCAATTGAGAGGTATGGGAATTTCTTGTTGGAGAGAAGAGGAAGCGTGAGATAAGGGCTTAGCCAAGCCGTAGCATTGGAAACAGGCGAAGGCTAGGCTAAGGCTACAGGCTCCAAGCTGCCTATGCCCAGGCTGGTAGTTGCCCTGAACGGTGAAGCTCAGACGCAGGGAAGCCCACCTCAGTCTCTGGGGTCTGGTGACCTACTGAGTAAGGGCAGCTGCCGAGCCAAGCTAGGCTAATAGTGGAGGTATTGGTTAAAGACTCCACGCGTTGAAAAGGTAAATACTTTGCAATAATAATAGCTAAAACTGTATGGAGAGGTGCCTTATACAGCATTAAGATTTAACGTATGTATAGATAGCATGGTAAAGTGTTTGTACGAAGTAGTCAGCTTATATAAGCAGTGATAAGTGTCTCATCACTCATCCCGAGTCTGAGATGGATATCATATCATGGCTTCCATGTCTGCCGTCGAGTATTCTATGTATGGACTGATCCAGAGCCAGCGGATATCGGCAAGTCAATGGAAATGCTTTGAATGGAAATCCCAACCGTTTGCCTGCAACCTTATCTCTAGGGTTGCATTGGGCCTACCAAATCGGGGGTTGTAATATTGACCGAGTCAAATACCTTGGGATGTTGATGAGTAACGTTTCAGAAGGATTTGTTTACGAGTGTTGCCATTGATCTCTTCTTATCCGCACATGTTTTATTGCGGCACAACATGCCTATCATGGCCACTAATTTCGATACTAGTTATCCTCTGTTCGGAGTATCTACAGTGAAGCCACGTCTCTGGAAACACTGAACCAAACCTAACATCGAATTATATCAACCTTATTACACGAATCTGTTCAATCTTGGCTGTGCGGCCCCACAAGAATAATCGATGTGCATTACCCGTCACTTGGTGCGATGAAGCGGGCACGTTTATGCTGTCACGCTCAGTGGGGGCGTCACAACCCTTAAGAGTCGAGTCAGATGAACGAGGCGCATGTCGACATGTGAATAGATATCTCTATATATCTCACATCAGAGATCTCGATCTCTCTGGTCCTGGTTTTTGTGTTTTACTCTGTAGCATCAGGCCTCGTCTTTCTCTCTGGCCATGCCGTGAATAGGTAGGCAGCATTCAAAACCTCGGCAACAAAAGCACCGACAGAAGCTTGAATTTCAGAGTGGATTTGCTCTGCATGGCCTACGTCATTTAGTAGCACCTACAGCGCCTATCGCGATACGAAGCTGCACCTTGTGGTTCGTTATGAGCTCCAGCCACGCCAGCTTCCAGGAGCAAGACACCTTGAGACCTTGACCATGACAGATAAAAAGACTTGAGTAAGTTCTCATAAGCCCAAGGAGAGCTTTTGGATAGTTTATTTTGTCGCTTAGGGTCAAAGTCTCAAGTTTGTCACCTCCCATGCCAGCTCTTGCACATGATCCGACTTCCCCACAGACAGAGTCATAAAGACGACTATCACTGTCATCCATGGATGGATATCTTGAGCTCCAGAGAGATAGCTCTGAGCGACACTACTGGATTCTACTGGCCTCTAACCGCTGAAATACATTTTTTTAGTGGGGAAATGTCTAGCACCCGTAGACCCTTGAAACCACTCCAAACACCAACATTAGCAGCGCCTAGTTCCCTGCTGACCCCGTCTAACGTTTGTTCCCCAAACTTCCATACCTTTCCTGCTGTAACGATGGAGGCCCAAGAATGCCCTCCCTTGAGGCTGTTGTGGCGGCCTTGATTGGTGATAATCTCTAAACCAACATCGACGGTTTTGCCCGGATTGCCGAACAACTGTCCTTGTGTATTATCCACTCGCAACTACACTAACTACACCATATGCAACACGCGGGAGGCTTCAGCTTGGAATTCTCTTGGCAAGCATAGGATTGACGACCGATTACCCAATTGCTGAGTGGTCCTTGAGCAATAGAATACACCATAACATCATTACTTCTCTGACTTGTCCCCTCTTTCAAAAACCTCATTCTTCTGTGCTTTGTTCCACCGCGGTTCTTCACCGTCTCATACTTGCTCATGTGGGCCTGGGCCAGTGCTCGCTACTACTGAACCCCTCGCCTGGCCGAGCGGACTTTGCTCTCTGGACTTCATCATGACAACACCTCAACAGTCAGATCTCAAGGGAGTTGACAATGGGGGAGAACGACATCGAAACAGCATAGCCGAGTCCCATGGCGGACGGGGATCGGTATCAGTCACCATGGAGCCACGACACAACAAGTTGGGCAGCATCTCAGGTGTCTACATCCCTGTTTTTCTCAATATCATGAGTATTCTCATGTTTTTGCGATTCGGTCAAATAATTGGGAAAATCGGTTTCGTGGGTATCCTCGGTAAGCTTTTCTCGCATACGAGGCCTTTCATAAATCTTAACAAAGACTCCAGGACTTCTAGTTACAGCTTACTCCATTGACTTATTGACGACGCTTTCTCTGTCGGCCATCGCGACCAATGGAGAAGTCAAGGGTGGTGGTGCATACTACCTTATCTCACGGTCTCTGGGACCCGAGTTTGGTGGTTCCATCGGAATCCTCTTCTATCTGGCTCAAGTTCTCAATGCAAGCATGAACGTTGTTGGTCTTATTGACTGTGTTAGACTGAATCTCGGCGCGGCTTTCCCCTCAGGTTACTGGACTGGCTATGGCCTCCAAACAGCTGCCCTGTTGCTTTGTACTGGTCTTTGTTTTCTGGGATCTGCAACTTTTTCGAGAGCCTCCAATGCTTTGCTTGCTATCCTGAGCTTGGCCATTGTCAGCATCCCAGTCTCTGCTATCTTCAAGGCTCCCTTCCATGATAGGGATCTCGGGATTCATTTCACTGGACCCAGTCTTGATACCCTGACCGACAACTTCCTTCCTCACAGCGGCCCCCAATTCAAAGGCCTTGAAACGTTTCGTGATCTGTTTGGCATTCTCTTTCCGTACGACCCTCATGCCAACCTGTGTGTGTATAACAAGCTCGTACTGACAACAAGACAGTGCTACCTCGGGGATCTTCGCGGGTGCATCCATGTCTGGAGACCTAAAAGACCCAAGCAGATCGATTCCTCATGGGACGCTCTGGGCAATGTTGACAACGTTTATCATTTACTTTGTCGTAATCCTTTCGCTGGCTGCGAGCACAACTCACACATCTTTCCTGGCCAACGACAATGTCATCCCTCTTATCAACCTCTCCCAACCTGTCATCCTCGCTGGCGAATGTGCAGTCACCTTCTTCTCCGCTCTTATGGGCCTGATCGGCGCCTCCAAGCTGTTCCAAGCTTTTGCAAGGGACAAGCTTCTTCCAGGCCTCGGCTTCTTCAGCAAGGGCACGAAACACGGTGACGAGCCGATTTACGCTTTGCTTCTGACCTATGTCATTGCGCAATTGGCTCTCTTCGCCGATCTCAACCAGATCGCTACCTTTATCTCTATGGGATATCAGATGACTTTCTTCGTCATGAATTTGGCTTGCTTCCTTCTCAAAATCGGGTCAGCCCCTAACTTCAGACCAAGCTTCAAGTTCTTCACCTGGCAAACTGCTTTCCTTGCCGGCATCTTGTCAGGCTTTGCTATGTTCTTCATCGATGAGACCTATGCTGCTATTGCTATCACAGTGCTTGTGTTGCTATTCCTCCTCATTCATTACCTCAGCCCTCCTAAGCACTGGGGCGATGTTAGCCAAAACTTGATCTATCATCAAGTAAGGAAGTATTTGCTACGCCTGAGACCAGAACACATCAAATTCTGGAGACCGCATATCATATTACTTATCAACAACCCTCGCAGACAGACCAGATTGATCCAATTTTGTAATGCACTCAAAAAGGGGTCGCTTTACATCCTTGGCCATGTCATCGTGACCGACGACTTCAACTCAGGGGTTCATGAAGCTCGGCTTCAACAACATGCATGGACAAAATACATCAACGAGTATTCCAAGATCAAGGCTTTTGTGCAGCTGACAATGTCGCCCGCCATCACTTGGGGTATCCGCAATCTGATACTATCAGCCGGCCTTGGTGGAATGCGTCCCAACATTGCTGTGCTTGGGTTTTACAACATGGAGGAACTGCGAAAATCGAATCCGGAGCTCCGCGTACCTGATGTTCCCGTATCTTTATCTAGTCAAATGCGACGGCCCGCTAGGTCAAATGGCAAAGCTCCCGAAAGACCTCGGAGGCGACGGGGTGACACGTCAGCAAGACTCATGGAGGGCATCCTACCAACGGACGTTATTCGTACCGAGAATATGATGTCTCCAAAAGAGTATCTGACCATACTAGAGGACATTGCGTTGAGATATCGACTCAACGTTGCAGTGGGGTGTGGCTTTGAATCACTTGAGACACCAAGAAAGGACGGAACCAACACCAAAAAGTACATCGACCTGTGGCCCATCCAGATGTCGGCCGAGGTTACTTCTGATGGAAAGAGTTTGCTGACCACCAACTTTGATACATGTAAGGTCAATCTCTTGTGAAGACGGCACAGGCTAACATTAGTAGACACACTCATTTTGCAGCTCGGGCATATTCTTCACAGTGTGCAACTCTGGAAGCATGTTTATACGCTTCGGGTCATGGTGTTTGTGGAATATGAGAGTGAGGTCAACGAAGAGCATGCTCGAGTTCTGGCACTTCTTGAAAAATTAAGAATCGACGCAGAGGTCAAAGTATTTTGCTTGGCATCAGGCAGTCTGAATACTTACGAACTCATCGTCAATGGAA